AAGATATCAGCAGCTTAGAGGAGACGACTGTTGCGTGATCAACTCACTTTGGTCCTATGCACATGAGAACAAACTAACGATAAACTCAACATAAACTTACTTAATCGATGTAAGGTAAAAAATGTAATTCTGTTCATCAGTTACAAGTGTAGCATAGGTTTTTCATCTCTTGCTCTACTCTTTCCTGCGGCATAGGAACTCTTTTGCACGTATGCTTGCTTTCTTTGAAAGGACTTCAGGAATCTATTTCTTAAATCAGAATTATGCTAAGCAACAGTTATGTGTCATGTCTATGTTGTTCAACATAAGTAGATCGTTTCTCTTAGTCTGTATATAGGTATTTGAGTTTCATATTTATACTTTGCATTCCCTTCCTCCCAACCAAGGTTGCTAGGATGGGATCGTAATTTTGTAAGATCCTACAAATAATAATTTAAAATATTAAAATCAAATTAAATTGTAAGAACAAAGGAATTACTAGATAAAATAAAAAATAATAAGTTAAAAATAAGTTTTGAACTGTTGTGTTAAGTTTCGCAGCAAGGGTTTTTTTGGGTGGGATAAAGCTCTTTGTACATCTCCCTTTACCACTTGGTTGACGGTGGATAATGTGACAGTTTTATTTTATAATGATTGGATTAAGTATGTGAAATGTGAAATGAGGCATGCCAAACGTAAATTCGGCAAGCCACGGTATAAAGACAGGTGTACATGTAGCAAGATCGTTTTTTGTGGAAGAACATTTTGAACATCAAAGCATTTCACTAGTTGTGCTATTATCCGTTATTCATCGAAGAGATATTATGGAAGCCAACACCAAATTGTTCGCTTTCAAATTCTGCACTTGCACTCTATCTTATAGTGATCCTAGCTCGATTCTATCAATTTGTGGTACTGTATACAATTTGGATCGTATTGCCTTTTCAGTATCGTGATTTTAATAACTATGCTCCCAACCATCTACCCCAATCCCACAAGAGTCTCCCGTCCTCCTCAAACAGCCCATGAACTTGCCCAATCACATTCATAAAAGATTATGAACTGCTAGGCTCAATCTCTTTATTCTCTCTCTCTCTCAAGGTTTGGGAGGAAGGGATTGGACTAATGTGGCTGGGTTTGTCTAGTTGATCCAATATCATTTTGTACAAATTCTGTTGAAAAGAAGTCGAGGATATGAGTGCAAGAAACAAAAGTTTGAAGACCCATCTGAACAAAATTTGTTGATCAGATACCCTATCAAAGCTCACGAATTAACAATTTACAAAAATGTAAATGTTATTGATCATCGATTTAGGTGGGAGTGGACCCTTATTCTAGTTCAATAGAGTCGTCTTGTCCAACTCTGTCAGAAATTCCAATTTCCTTCCTAGAAAACCAGCATATTTTCTTTAGAATCTGAATCCATGTCTATTCCTCACTCATCCCGCAAGGATAGCTGAAATTAGAGGAAGAGAATGGTATTGAATCAGCTATACAAATTTATGTCTCTTTTATACCATGCATGCCAAATTCCCTCGTGCACCTTGTGTTCTCTCACCGGGCATAGGCAAGTGATCATTCATACAAACACCGCCGGATCTTTCACTCCTCCTTAACTCACGCTGATTTTCACTTTTAATGTTGATAAGAAGAACAGTTATGACAGTAATCATGCCATGGAAAGCATTATCTACTCTTGCGTAATGCTTGTTCTGTTCTATTATCCATGTCAAGGTCAAGAATCAAGATTTCGGTGACACTGTGCCGCCAGAGCAAGTGTTAAGATAAAGACAATTTTGCTTCATGACTAAGAAACAAGTCATTTCTTCTCCATTAAGAAAACAAGCAGGAAGAAGACAAATTGGAATTTTCTTCTCCAAATCCATTTGTCCAACTTTCTCCAACCAGTTTCCAGTTGA